GGATCTTCCCAGTCCCCTTCTCTCTGTGACCCTGCCACCTGCTGAACCTCCTTTACCTGTTTCACAGACATTTTCTCCCTGGGTTCTGTGAATGTTGTCTCCAGAATGACTGCTCTCTGAGCCTCGGCATTTTTTCTGGGTCAGCCAAGAAACAGGAAACACTAGGACTTGGGCAATAGTGAGATTTACCTCCAGTTCCTGGTAGTCCCCTTTAAAACACCCCCACCCACCTACCCACCCAGCGGCTTGTTGGATTCCAACTCACTGCCCACGACAGTGACATCAAGGACATCCTTGTCCTTGCTGTTCTGAGACTGACTTCAGCTCAGTGGATGGGAAAGCTGCAGTTAGGTTTTTATCATCAAGGAGCTCAGGATCCTCCTCCAATCTTCTGTACAAATTATATTTAGTCCTGCCAAAGAGATTTTCTGGGTTGCCATAAATTTTCCTTGCTTTCAGAACAAGATAAGGCATTGAAAAGGGGTTACACAGAGGGCAGACATCAAAGGGGCCAGATGAAATAGCCTAAAATCACCTCTACCCCTCTGGATTCCTTCCTCTAGCCGGTGGCTTTCAGTTCCTGCAATCTACCTCTAATTAGAATATTTACCAAGAGCTCTGGGGTTCCAGAATTTTCCTAGAGAACCCCGCTTTGTAGCCTGCCAACCTATGTTGATGCCCATGCCAACATTTTAAAACGAGGCCCCCATTGGAAGTGCCAAGGAGGTGGAATTGGATAGTAAAGAGAAATTGATTATGAAGAGCCTTCAAAACAGAATGGGGAAGAGGGTGTGTCTGACCAAAGGGTGTGTCCATCTCCAACTGGTGGCTTCTGTTGTTTTGTTTCATAGATTGTTCGAGATTCTCTGTTGTTTTATTTCTTGTTTTGAGACAGGTTCTTACTATGTCACTCTGGCGGTCCTGGAACTCACTGTAGACCAGGCTGGCCTGGAACTCACAGAGATCCTGCTAGCCTCTAGTGTTGGGATTAAAGGCGTGCATCACCACACCTGATGTGGTTCAAGATTCTTGACTCTCTGAAAGCCTTTTATTGTTGTTGTTGTTTGTTTATTTGTTTGTTTGCATTACTGGGCATTACATTCAAGCCACACAAGTGCTCTGCTGAGCTGCATTCCCACACTACAGAATCTTGTTCTTTCAGAAACTAAAGCACAGTGGCTGGAGGGACGGCTCAGCAATGATGAGCACTGGCTGCTCTTGCAGAGGGCCTGAGTTCAGTTCCTAACACCCACATGGTGGCTCACAACCTTCTATCACTGCAGTCTTGGGGGTTCTTATTCTGGTGTGAGGATGCGCATATAGATGAAACACCCATAGACATAAAATACAGAAACAAATACATCTTCTTTAAATAAAAGAAATAAAAGCAGAGAGTTTTGTGGGACTGTTGAGACAGTCTGTGAAGGTACTGTTTGGGTAGAACAGTGTCCTGCTTGTCTTTCCAGGAGGTTTTATTGGGGGAAGTCTTCAGTGGTCAGCTTGGGCCATTGACTCAGAAATCTTTCTTGCTGAGAGAAAATTAGGTAACTGAGGAGAAATGAAGATTAAGGTCCCTGAATAGGGGGACAAAGACCAGTGAGTTCTTTCGCAAGAGCTGGCATTCATAGGGTGAGGCCCAACTGATAGAGATCATGGGTTAAACCGTGGCCTGAGGAGTGTGGCCAGGGAGTCTATATGCGCTAGACAGCCTAGAAGAAGCTGTTGTTCAGGTGGTAGACAAAGGCCAGGAAGGCGGGAGGCGTGGGACCACAGGCTCCCAGCATGAGAAAGGGCCCAGGGAGCAACAGACTGGCGTTAGCAAATAGAAGGCCAGAGAGCCAGAACTAATATTAATTCATGGGAGACATGGACCCTGCCTCAAAATCCACCACACAGTGTGCCTAGAAGTCCCACCAGCCAGGAAATAAGGTGAACCCTAGTTACATGCTCTTCTCTGAATTACATCTTTGTGTGGCAGATAGGAAGATTTTGGTCTGGAGAAATTAATTTGTTCTTAGTCTTGCCTGGATCTGGTATTCAGTCTCAGTTTCAAAATCTCTCTCTCCCCCCTTCTCTCCTACACCCTTGCTCTGTCTCTCCCTGTCTTCCCCCTCCCTCACTACTTCCCCCTCCTTCTCTTCCTTCCCCCTTTCTTGCTTCCTCCTTCCCTCTAGTAGGTCAGAGAGAAGAAAAGCAAATGCATGAAGCCTAAGCAAGCCCTCCCTGTCTCTTTCTAATATGTCACCCAGCTGTCCATCATCCTGCTCCCCTTCCCTCACACCCCCCCTTTCCCAACCATCGTCCCCAGCAATGGCATTACATTGTTGACTCTTTGTCTTGAAAATCAAAGCTGATTTTGGGTAAATCTTCTGTTTATTCCTCATTCTAAATGTTACAGTTCCCCTTTCTTTCCCCGTGATTTCAGCCCTTCCTTTGTTTTTCTGATGCTCTTATGTCAGGTGAACAGAGACCAGCTGTTCAGTGCAGACCAGTCAGAGCTAGATACTCAGGAAAGGTGGGTCAATTTGAAACTGGTGTTCTGTTGTTTAAAAATCCTAATGCTATTTTAAATAATGAATGCTAACAGCTTATTTCTGACAGGATGTTTTTCTGTAATAACTTCACCGATATGAATATTTCTAGGATGTGTCCATTGCACTAGCCAGTGTCTACCTAGAGCATGAGGAACAGCTTTATACTCAAATTATACTCAAATCCTCACAGTTGTAGGACCAGTTTGTATAAGGTCATGCATATTCACCACCGCCCCTTTGAGGAAACAGGCTTAGGGTCAGAGTGACTGGTCTCAGGGCAAATAGAAAGCCAGAGAAGCAAGATGAGTACCCAAAGTCCTCTGGTTTCCAGTCCCTTCTCTCTGGAAGAAGGGCAGAACTTGAAAGTGCAGGTGTTGTTCGCTGGGCTGCATCTAAAGTTCATCTTAACTTAAAATCCGTCTCAACTTAGTGTGAAGATTTGCTCTTCAGTTCTCTCTCTCTCTCTCTCTCTCTCTCTCTCTCTCTCTCTCTCTCTCTCTCTGCTAAGTTCTCAAGTGCCTAGCCCTTAGAACTTTCTCAATAAGCACTGTTGAATGAAAGAATTGTCCTCATGGGGTTAGAAGGAGTGAGTCCCTGTGGGGCTGACAGTTCACATGGGGTCATGGTATGTACCTTCACATTTCTCTCCTTTTTTTAAAGTTTATTTTCACTTTATGTGCATTGGTGTTTGCTGCATGTATGACTGTGTGAGGGTGTCAGATAGTGGAGTCACAGACAGCTGAGAGCTGCCATGTGGGTGCTGGGAATTAAACCCAGATCCTCTGGAAGACCAGTCAGTTCTCTTAACCACTAAGCCATTTCTCCAGCCCCCCAGTTTTTTTTTTGTCTGTTTTTTGAGACAAGGGTTTCTCTGTAGCTTTGGAGCCTCTCCTAGAACTAGCTCTTGTAGACCAGGCTGGCCTCGAACTTACAGAGATCCGCCTGCCCCTGCCTCCCTAGTGCTGGGATTAAAGGCGTGCACCACCACTGCCTGGCCCTTCCCTTCTTATCATTAGCTAGGTTCCCTTCCAAGAAGTTTAGGGGTGAAGGACCTGGGAGGGTATATGGGAAGAGGGGACAATCTAACATAGAGTAGATATGTCTGGTGAGTTGGTTGACAGGGACTCACAGGCAGCCTCTCAGGAAGATGGCGGAAAGCATTTGGACCGAGTGGCTATCATCTAACACAATGGTTTTTCTACTAGGAGTGATTTTTACCCCTGCTTCCTCCACCCTGTGGTCATATAGCAATGTCTGGAGATACTTTATACTCACCTGGTGTACTGGAATCTGGTGGGTAGAGGCCAGGGATTCTGTTCAATATGCTTTAATGCACAGGACAGCTGCCCAACAAAGAATTTACCAGCTTGTCACATCAGTACCACCGAGATGGAATTCTACAAACATCACTAAGAACTAGTTTGCCCAAGTAATTTATTATTCGTATCGTAGCATTTTCAGAGTGGACTTTCCATCGTTACTAAACATTCTGAGTCAGTGTTCATCCCACGAAGAGACCTGGGCAGCCAGGATGTGCAGATTCTGGTCTGGTCCACAGAACAGGAACGATGAGGAGGCAAGCAGTCCAAGGACTCTGGTTCTTGGGCTGGGGTAGATGGAGAGAACACCAGAGGGTCAAATGAGGTCTCCCAGAAGGGATGCGAAGGAAAGGCAGATCCAGGGAGACGGAGGTTCATAGGGATGCCTCGGCGTCACGAGGATGTAGGCATGCCACAAATCACAGATCAGCAAAGATCAATCGGGGATGAAACATCCTGGAAATGGCTTTTTAAAGAAGTACGATTGATAAGAATGCCAGTTAAGATTGTGTGGGAAAGACAGGAGTCCCTTGGTGGTGTTCCTTTTATATCAGGAATCGTCAACATGCTTCAGGTCCCTTACTTTTCTGATTAATTATATCCACCTGGAAGTCCAGGCCAACCAGCAGGAGATTCCTCTGTGGTTGATTAGCTTTGTCTGCCATGTATCCCCCAAAGGACAGTGATGGATCATCCATCTCTCTCTATTTCACAAGGCCTGCTTTCGTCATTCTTTTGAAAGCCAGGTGAAACGTGGTGCCCTGAGTTCTGTGGCTTCTCGTGTATTTATTTAGTCCACTGGGGCTAACTACTATGCTGGACAGGGAGTCAAAGACTAAGAGGACTCCACCCCTGGCACCCAATACCTTGATTTTTTGTAGAGGAATAAAATACTTGTGAAAATAAAGCTCCTAGGGAGTGGGGAACAAAGTAGGACTGCAGTTGCAAGATCCCCTTGCTTGGCGAGCCTTTTCTTCCAGACAAAACAAGAAGCTGGGCTCAGAGGAGAGAACTGGCAGGTTTAGAGAATGACTGGGGTTCCAGCACTATTGACTGAGGACAGACTTGCTGAGCCTCTGCAGGGTGGGCTGGTGAGCCTGGGAGCCACCTATACGCCAACTAATGACTCTTGGGTGTCTTTTACCAGGGCGAGAGATGGTGGGGCCCACGCTGCCTGGATACCCACCCCACATCCCCACCATTGGACAGGGCAGCTATGCCTCTTCTGCTATCGCAGGCATGGTGGCAGGTAAGGGCTGAGGGACTGGGCGTAAGCATGGGAAGAGGGAAGTGTCAAAGAAATGGGACACAGTAGGTGACAAGAGATAGGCCAGGTCCCACTCACAGGCTTCCAAAGGACACTGAGGGATGGGCCAGAGGGGTACCTTCATATAAGCACGTAGAGAAAATCCCCAGTGCCAGCTTGGCTCCTGGACCCCTCTCGGCTTAGTCTCCCCAGACCCCCCATGTAGACAGACCTACGTTCACACCCAAGCTCCCCTGCTTCCTCCTCTTGCACTGCGTTCAAGTGGAAGAGTGTGAAATAAACACCGTGAGACAAACACGAGCCCCATCCCCTGGTCTCCCGTGATTTAAATGAAATCAGATGATGAACCTCAGTTTGCCTTTCCAATAAATTCTGAAATTTGAGTGATGGTGATGATGATTATGGTGAAGGTAACAGCGATAATGGACACACCGGTGATGAGATGAGTGAAATAGACCTTCCTCTGTGGTCCACACTCACCCAGCACTGAGGAGGGCCCAGGTTCTACCGACTGTAAGGATGCCACAGAGTGTGAGCTAAGAGTCCTTCACACTCATTTTGAAATGCCCTGCGATTTTGCTTGACAGTCCTTTTGGTGTCTGTCTGCCAGTCATGATCCGATGACCCGGGATTTCAGGGTCTGAAGAAATGAATAGTTTCTTTGGGAAAGTCCCAGTCTTTTAGGAGCCATGTGGGAAAGCTCCAGGGATCGATGGGTAAGGTTAGAACGGAACCATTTCTAACTGCCCATAGAGGTATAAGGGCCTGAAGCTTTTGGGGGAGGGCTCTGTACTCAGGGCCATGTGTGCCACCCCAATAACATCCCTGTACCAACCTCCCTGGCTCTGACCCTAAAGACTTGGCCCCATTCCACCAAGCCTGCTTCCCCCTGGCAGGGGTTAATCTTTGCCAGCCACCCACCCACTCCGGGCACCCTGTGCACAGGCAGGTGGGTTGAGTTCTCTTAGGCAGAGAGAGGGGAGGGATCAAGGAGAGGAGGCTTTGCTCCCTGGGAACCTGCTGAGCTGGCACTTGTTGCTGCCCGGTTACCGTGGCGATGTGGTTAATGCAGCGTTGAAAATACAGAATTCTGACTCCTCTCTCCCTCCTGGCCCCAGACTCCCTCTCTCCCTCCCTCCCTCCCTCTTGTGGAGCGTGAAATGAGATTGGTCAAGATAAAAAAGGAAAAGATTCGGTTATTTTTTTAAGAGTGTGGATAATGGGGCCTCTCAATCAAAATCCTAGGCTCCAGTCTGCTCCCTGCACCTCCCCTTTCCAAGCCCTCCGCGTTCCCTGCTGCCTGCTTAGAGGAGAAGGAAGCGATGTAAAGCAAGACCCCCCCCCACCTTAATTATGAATGGTTCTTGGGGGCAGGTCCAGGGCAAGGGGTTCCTCAGGCCAGAGTGTGATGTGTATGTGGGGGGCAGAAGACAGGGGAAGGACTGCTTCTAGGAAGACCTGTGCAAGAGTGGGTGCTGTGAAGAAACACTCTCACACACGAGCACACACACACACACACACACACACACACATGCATTCACCACACCTGCTACATAGACTGCAAGCGAATTGCAGCTGGGAAGGGTCCCACCGCACACAGTGAGGGTCTCCAGTAAGCTGTGTCCGCATTGGTTTTCAGGAAACGCAATGCCATTAAAATGAGTCTCCCGGTTCCTGAGAGCACGCCTGTGCAAATGACTCCTGAAGGAAGGTCTTTCGTAGAAAAATATCACCATATTCATCTCTTACCACTGCCTATGATCTGTCAGTTGACTGAATGGGGATTTTTTTTTCCATTAAAGTCACTTAACTCAGTAAGCACCTACTGCATACATGTAAGGCACATAATTAAGGGCTTAAATAAGGCTCGCCAACTACATTCTTCAATCAGTTTGCAAAGGAATAAGTGATCATTTATTACACATTTCTGCATACCTGGCCATTTATATGCGTAACTTTATTTCTCTTTCATCCTTATAGTAAATCTTGGAGGCTGGTAGAATTCAAGTTTCCTAGCTAGGGAAACCGAGGTCTACAAGAACCAAATGGTGTGCTCAGGGATGGTACTAAGTGACTGAGTCGTTCAAACACAAGTCTATTGATTTAGCGTCTGTGCTCTTTCCGTTTTCCCACACTGCATTCCATCATACCATAAATAAAGACGCAAGCTACATCCTCATCCTGCAAATAGCTCAGGGCTTTGATACCAGCTAGAAAATAGAACCAGCGGACTAGATAGTTAGATTCATCCTGACATCTATCCATCATTTCTCCCATCCTTCCATTTTCTCTTTTCATTCAACCATCTTCCTTTTTTATTAATCCTTCTGCCTATTCTTATCCGTCCACCTTTATATATACACACATATATCATCCCATGCTTCTTTCTACCCATACGCCTTTCCTTCCATCCATCCATCCATCCATCCATCCATCCATCCATCCATATCTCTTCCTTCTTCCCATGTATACATACTTTTACCTATCCCTCTTTCCAGCCATCCCTCCAGCTTTTATTCTCTCATTACTAATACTTCTATTATCCACATATCACTATTCAGCATGTCCCTCTATTTGTGGGATGGGCAGGAACAAGCAGTGAGCCTGTCAATGAATGAATAAACATAATATCCCATGAAGATAGCTATGTAAAGGCAATAAAATGTGCTGATCAACGAAGAGCCACAGGGAGAGCAGATAACTACTTGAGATTGAATAGACAGGAAGATCTTCCTGAAAAGATTTTCAAAGTGGTCAGCCAAGTGATAAACTGAGGCTGACCATCCCTGGCCCAAAAGAAGACCAAGTGCACAAAGGCCCCGAGGCAGGAGAGCTAATTTAGCATGACAGTATCCTGAAAGAAGATGAGCGGATTGGAGAGTAGTGAGCACCGGGAGAGAAGTCCCCGCAGAGTGTGCAGAAATGGGCGGCGGTGGCAGGGCCACGCATTAGAAGGCTTCTCAGGTGCTTGAGGAAATAGATTGCAGATACCGAGACAAGTTAGGTAATCAATGCTCAGGTTTTTGTAAGAGACAACAGTTGCTTTAGCTAGGAGAGTAGGCCTGAAGGATAAGAGGGACACTCGATATGTGTTGGTGATGAATCGAACATTACCTGCCCACAAGTTGACTGCAGAGATGAGAGCTAGAGGCAGCAGACATGGGTAGGGTTTGGGGAGCTTCGTGGGTGATGGTGGTGAGCACCCAAGTGGGAACGTCGGAGAGGAAGCGGTGAGGAGGAAATCAAGGGTTCAGAGGCAAGAGCAGAGTTGAGGTGATTAACTAAATAGCAACCTTGATATCCTAGAAGGCTTTAAAATGAATCTGTGGTTGGTTCTTCCATATACTGTGGAGTTCTAATAAAGAAGGGGCTGGGAAGAGAGGAAGCAGAAAGAGTAGGCATGTTGCAAAGCAGTGTGGGGGATCTGAGTAGCATGGATTCCAATGGAAGTGAGAGACTAAGAGGCCAGGTGGCTGTTTGTTACCATTGAAGTGGTCCTTGGAATGATCAGCTTTGACTCCAAGGCGCTTTGCCTAGAACAGCATTGGCCTGATTGGAATAGAATGTGAAGATGAAGGCAGAGAAAGAAACTAGTGGCATCTGATATAAGAACAAAGGGGACTGGCCTTTCCTGGACACGGTGCCGTTTCATTTTCTGTGGCTATGTATAGGTTGACAGATCTGCTAGCAGAAATGCCGCACTCCAAGGTGCATCATCTACCCAGACGCAGCCTCTATCCCAGCTTCCCAGTGACGGAGGCAAAGAGGCACTCAGAGCATATGTTAAACAACCGATGCTGAGCGAGCGGATGTGTGCATGAGTGGTAAAATGAGAGGACACACACATTGTATTGCTCTCTCCCTTGACCTTTAGAGATGGCAGTGTTAGCACTGGGAGGTCAGAGGAAGGGCATAGGATGGGGGCCCTTGCTGCACAGCCAGAAGAGAATTGCCCTTCTCCAAAGGAATGCTGAAACCGGACTACATAGGCAGTCAACAGGCTTAGTTCCTACTGTGGGCTATAGGAGCAAGCCTCGGCAGAGGAACGTGCCAACCAGGCTTCAGTTCAGGCTCTCTTTTAGCAGTGTGGCCTTGGGAGAAAGCCTTGAGGCCTTCCATAGAGAAGTTTCTTCATTCATAAGTAAATGGTTGGATTAGATAATTTCTTAGTTTTCTTCTTTCTTTCTCCTTTCCCCTCTTCCTGTGTATTTATTTTCTCCCAGACCTGTGTTTGAGTCTGTCCCTAACCCAAAGAAAGTGCTTTTGTTCCGACCATAAGCTTGCTGCCCGGTATGGAACTGCTAGACACAAGGAGGGTTCAGCAACCTCCCCTAGCTCTGTCTCTTCCCTGGCTTCCACTCATACAAATGACAACTCCTCAGGAATGAAGCATTCCATCTGGCCCCAGCCCAGCCTTTCCGATTGATGGTGTGACTGATATGAGTATCCACTGAACTTTTAAAAATCATTTATTTATTTATGTTCAATTGTACTTTGCCTGTATGTCTGTGTGAAGCTGTCAGGTCTCCTGAAACTGGAGTTACAGGCAGTTACAAGCTGCCGTAGTAGGTGCTGGGAATTGAACCCAGGTCTTCTGGAAGAGCAGTCAGTGTTCTTAACCACTGAGCCGTCTCTCCAGCCCTCGAACTTTCCTTTTAGCACTTGTTTCAGGAGAGAATAAAAGGAAGTCAACATTCATTGATGCTGCTTTTATCAAGAGCTTGAGTCTAAGTACTTAATACACACCAGCTAGTTTAATCCTCACCCAAATCCCATGAGACAGGGACAAGAGTTCACTCCATTTGATAGACAAGGACACTTAAGGCTTAGAGAGAGAGAGACAGACAGACAGAGACATAGCCAAGCCCAGGAGAGAGAGAGACAGACAGACAGAGACATAGCCAAGCCCAGGAGAGAGAGAGACAGACAGACAGAGACATAGCCAAGCCCAGGAGAGAGAGACAGAGACAGAGATAGCCAAGCCCAGGAGTAGAAGGTGGGAAGGTGGAAAGTCTGGGGTGGAGGCAAGAAGTCACAGACAGCACCTAGCTCACAATCACCGATGAGATCCCAAAAGACTGTGTAAACAGCTTTTGCATATTAAATTGGCTAGGCAAATGCTTGAAGGGATTACCTGGGATTTATAAGAGTTCTAAGGTCAAATTCAAGGTCCATCATTGGTCAACAGTGCAAGCTGAGCCAAACTGCTTACTCAGGCTCTACTCTAGTTTCCCCTTTTTTAAATTGGTAGCATGGGCGAAGGCTTTATGGGATGCTTGGGAGCGATGGAAAGGGCGGGCACTGCAGGAACAAGCTTTGCAAGCTTTAAATTATACACCAGTGGTAGGTGTGGTAGCCAGCTCAACGTAGCAGCTGTTGTGTAAGGGAATTCTTCAGTAAATTCTTTGACAAATACTTCTTTTGGGAAAGCCAAGGATCAGCTGACCGAAAGAGGTAACCTGACATGCTTTGGGTCAGTTCATATACTGAGTTTGCCTAAAACAAGGGCATGGCTTTCCTGAGAAGTGATTTCCTCTTAGACCACCAGCCCCCTCGGAAAGTCCCTTCTGTAGAGAGTCCCCAGCAACAGAGAAAGTAGAATTTGAATCTGGCTCCTACTGTTTGGCAGTCTCCACACTCTGCAGACCATAGAGATCTGGAAAATGGGGGTGGTGGCATCTGCCTCCCGGGGCTCTCCGGAGGGCTGCGGTGTATCAAGGACCCGCCCAAAGTGACCCATATGGTGGGCCCTCCTGAGCTCCACTGTCCCTGTTGTGGTTTTACCTGCCCTCTCCGGTGCCATTCATTTCTGGACCCAGCCCTGCTAACCCCACAGACCTGTCTCCCCATCCCGGTCCCCTTGCTGGTGTCATGACCCTCACAGGTCTCTTGCCTGTGTGCTCCAACAGGAAGTGAATATTCTGGCAATGCCTACAGCCACACCCCCTACTCCTCCTACAGCGAGGCCTGGCGCTTCCCCAACTCCAGCCTGCTGAGTAAGTTCCTGGGGTTGTCCAGGCCCTCTGGTGGGCAGGGGAGGGTTGGGGTGGGGAGTGAAGCCAGACCAAAGAGCTGGGAGGCTCCAGGTTCGATAGAATGCCTAGAGAGGTGGCAGCTTTTGGTCATAGAAGCCAGTAGCCGATTGCAGTATCTGGCAGGTTTAGGGAAGAAAACAGAAGGTCAGACATTCTTTTCTCTTTCCACAACCCTGTCTGTTAAAATTTTGTTTTGTGTAAAATTCAGGAATCAAGCCTTGAAGGGCAAGGGTAGAGAAGGGTGAAGTTACACTCAAGCAAAGCCCGAGAGTGGCTGCCCTGCCTGCAGGGGTTTGTGGTCCCTCTAGGAGGCACTATCCAGGAGTTCCCTGCACATGCCAGCTCTTCTCCTTCCCTGAGAGCTGAGGCCAAGTCACCATCTTGCTCATTAGTTGTCTAAGTAGATGGAAAATAGTCTTGAGTTACCGCCACAGCTTTGTTCCATCCAGCCCCTTAGATGTGGCGGGAGACGTGACGAGTATTCAGGGTTGCTGTCTAGAAAGTGAGTTCCAGTGAGCCTCGAGACTGCCTTTTCACCCGTGCCTTGCTCTGGGTCCCTGAACTGTTTGGGGAAGATTTTGAGGAAAATAAGTTTACAAATAACTTATGGAATTCTTCTAGCACCTTCTCGAGTGGTAGCCCTTCGGTTGTTAGTACAAATCTAGGTCAGAGAGAAACAGTGGTCTTAGGATGTCCAGTTGCATAGATGCTTTGGCAAACTGGCTGGATCATCCATTCTTTTATTGTGGTATCTTACAGTCCCAGAAATGACCTGGAGGGGACTTACCTGTACTCTGTCAGCCAGATGTGTTCAGCTCCAAGCTACCTCTTGTTCAGTTTTGCCAGAAAGGGCAAAGTCGGTGAGGCTGGAAGGGTATAGAGGACCTTCCTCTTGAGCTTAGGGGAAGTCCCTCAAGTCCAGAACCCCTTGGACCAGTCAGGAGACAAATTGTTTTGGGTTTTCAGAAGATACTCCGACCTGCCATTATTTAGGCAAGGTTAGAGAGCATCCCAGCGACCCCACATTGTGCTCAGTTTTTGAGGTGCCACGCATAACTGTTCTCTGTTGCCTACGCCCTGAAACAAGAGTGTTGAAGGTCAAAGCGGTCATGAGGTGGTAGGGGGCAAAAAGCCATCATTTTTCTGGCTAGAAACTCAAAAGGTGAGGCCAGAGAAGGAGGAAGGGCTGAGAGGAGTTAATCTTTGATGGTCAGATGGGCGAGGGATAAATGATTAACACGTGCTGTCTTAAAGGTCAGCAGATGTTGGAGGAACGCCATGGTACAGCTTCCCCTCTGACCAGCAATGTTGTTGTTTTAATGTGTCCAGGTTCCCCATATTATTACAGCTCCACAACAAGGCCAAGTGCACCGCCCACCTCCGCCACGGCCTTCGACCATCTGTAGTTGTCATGGGGACAGTGGGAACAACCAGGCAAACAGGAGGACTTGGCCTGAGACAGGCCCCAGAGAGTCACACAAAGGAATCTTTATTTATTACATGAAAAATAACCACAATTCCAGCATTGCGGCTCATTCCCCCGTGTGGTCAATTTAATGGACCGTGAAAGTCAGGATGACCTTGGAGAAGGCCAAACTGTCCTTCAAGATTCCTTTTGTGGGGGACAGGAATTCCAGGAAAACCAGACACATCCCATCTCAAAAGAGATGGTGTTAGAGGAGAAGTGTACCCAGGCTGGTACCCACCAAAGGAGAGAAAAAGGGATCACAAAGAACTTAGAGGGAGACCTGTCTGAGGGTGTACAAGGACCAGCTGTGTGATCTTCATCAATACAACTCCAGCAATTATGGACCGTAAGCAAGTCCTTCTGGCCCATGAGTCCTAGCCCAGGGCCAATGGTCTACTCATCAGCCATCCTAGGAGTTACCACCTGTAGCCTCTGCCGCCTGCTGGGCAAGCCAACCAGCAACTTTCTGGGGATGCCAGCTGACCTTCCCATTTGTGTTGCTGTGAGCCTCCAGGCACCCCCTAGCCTCTCAACCATCGGGTCACCCCTCTGGCAGCAGTGAGCCTGTCTCCTGGGAAGTGTGGCAAGGCTCTCTACACAGAGCACCGCAAGACGTGACGGCTGGGACCACCGCGCTCTCTTCTCAACAGCCATGCCGATTCGAGTGTGCTTTCTATATCTCCAGCCCATGCAGCCACCGAAGAGACCCCTGAGGCCAGCAACAAGATTCCCTCTCTGGCTCCTCAGCTCCTTCCCCCAACACCACCTCACTGTAAATACCGCAAAATGATGCTCTGTTTGGGTCAAGCTTCCTTCTTTCCAGCCCCAGACTTTGGCCTCTGAGTGAATTGTTTTCCTACTATGTTGGGCTTTTCTCCTTGATACTTTTTTTTTTTTTTAATGACAACCCACCATTGCCACATGACTCAATAAACCATTACTCTTGGTCTCAGGTTTTGGGGCACCTTGGGGATCGACTTCCTCTAAACACAGAACCAAGTGACAGAGAAACTCACTTTGAAGATAAGAGATTAGCAATGACATTTTAGATGCCCTGGCTTAGCATTCTCTGCTTGCCTTAGTAGATCTCCAGTGCTGGGTAAATCAATTATTCCAATTTCTGAGCTAAGTAGATGCTGGCATAAAGGAAGCCGTGGCACAGTGCCATGCCAGTTACGACCCCCCCCGTAAGTGGTTGCTGTTGGTCTTCACTGAAATGCCGAGTCTCAGGGGTGAGTTGGAGAAGATCCACAAACAACTACAAGCTGGGCCCCACTTAAGCAGCACTTTTGAGCTTCATGGTGCTGAAGGGCGCAAGCAAGAAGACAATCTTCTCTTTTGTGCCAGGCACAGTGTTGGGGCTGTTGAGGAAGACAAGTTCAAATTAGCCCGATTTTACATATGAGAAAACTGTGTTTGGAAAGACGTGAGATAACATGGCCAAAGTGGGAAGTTGTGGGTTCAACTAGGTATTCTTCTCCTAAACCCAGCATTACCACTAAATCCAACCAATACCACGGGGCCTCAGCACGAAAACCAGAGGATTCTAGATACGAAGAAGGAATGGATGGGGTGGGTGCTACTAAGGATCTGTTCTCTTTTGCTCTCCACAGGTGTTTGTCCTCCCACCCCCATTTGGGAGGGGAGCTATCCGGCATCTATGTGAACCCTCCTTCTGTGCTGGACCCAGATAGAATGAGAACAGGGTGCCTGGGAAGATAGGAGGATAGTGTTTGGGAGGGAGGATCATCCATCATCCCTTCCGGGGCTCCATGGTTGTGCGGACAGAAGTAGGGAGTTAAGGTCGTTACCTCTTCAGGTATACCCCAAAGGAGGTGCTGGGAACATTCAAGAGGCAGGGGTGGGATGAGCCCAATTGTGTCATGAGGGGAAACTTCCCAGGAAGAAACCCTGTCCTTGTCTGTATGTAGGGGATCTGGAACGAGGCTCAGTTTCCAATAACAGGGATTTCCTCCATTTGTAAACTTGGCAGCAGGAACCTGAAGCCTATTTTAATGGAGACTGTTCACGTCTCTGAACCATTGGATTCATGGGTACCCTAAGGCAACCCTTAACTGAGAATCACTTTGAAAGGCATGGTGTTCTACAAGCTTACACAGTGATCCTTGCGTTTATAAACAAAACTCCTTCAGAGACACTGTGTACCCTGGCAGCCACTCTCGTGTCCCCAGTGACAGGGGGATCTGACATATGTCTGATGCGAAATTTACCTTCCCTTTTCTGAGCTCAGCTGCTCACCGCAGGAAACTCGGGGTCCATGTCGGGGAGCTGATGTGGCATGACCCAACATTGGCAAGTACTCTCCAGAATCTATGCAGATATTCTGTCCTAAGTCAAACTAGAGTCCCCTTTGGGGCTCAGAAAACACACTCATTTATATGCTGGGTGAGAGGGACTATTCAAAGTTCCACAACACCGGACGCTTCTGGGAGAAGTCTGGTCACCGCATACGAGAGAACACAAAGAGAAGATGCAAAGTGGCTACTGGGGCTGAGCTAAATGGCCATGCCCACCTTGGGGATGGGGCGAGGGATAGTGGAGAGGACTGGTTCACTCCTCCGGGGGAGCTGGGGGCACTGGTTTCTGTGAGCTATGGGGGGCGCTGGTTTCTGTGAGCTACGGAGGACTAGCCTATGTTAGCGGGAGGTCTTGGCACGAGGTGTTTGCCTGAAGATCGCCAAAGCTGGGAGCATCTTCCTCACTCTCTTCCACTGTACCGTCTCACTCTCCCCAAACGTGGACTCAGCTTTAAAGGTAGCACTTCTTGTCTATCACCCATGCCCCACCCCCCCAGTCCTCCCTGCTTCCCAGTACCCCAGCAGGGTGCCAGGTCACCAGGAGCTTGCTGCAAGCCCAAGACAGTAAAACAGGTGATGAATAGGAATATATTGCTCTAGGAAGAATGGGTCCCAGGTACACAGGGAAGGCTGCCATAGACTCTCCTCTGGTCTATGTCCCCAAGCTCCTGCATAGACTGTCCTCTGGTCTATGTCCCCAAGCTCCTGCATAGACTCTCCTCTGGTCTATGTCCCCAAGCTCCTGCATAGACTCTCCTCTGGTCTAGGTCCTCAAGCTCCAAGTCAGGAAGGCGGTTCGGGAATAAAAGCTGGGATTTTCCTCTCCAAAGCCAGCCCTAGGTTGTATGTCACCCCCTTTCCTTACCTTCCCTAGGCTGTTTGTAAACCCCTTTCCCCCCACCTTCTCTAGCTGTCTGTAAACCCCACCTTCCACCACCTTCCTAGACGTCTCCAGAATTCTTGCCACAAGTTGTTACTAAGAAATGTATTTTCTGCCTACTGTGCTCCAGGCACATTCTCCACCTGAAGCTCAAGGAATAGCGTTCAGTGACCGTAGTCCACTATCCTGACCCAGAGAGAGTGATGGACTAGACTCACCAAGGTTCCCCAGCCCCATCTGCGCCCATTTTTCAGACATCTTATTTCCTCCAGATGTATCTTTCCCTGGCATAAACCAATGTATTTTTCCTTTGAGAGACTTTCCTTGGCAGTGGGCACAGGAAGAGGATACTGACGATCTCAGTGTCCGCCATCAGTGGGCTTGTGCCTCACCATGGGCCTTCCGATGGGGGCATGGACAACCTTTCTGTCTCTCCTTGAGCCTTAGAACTTTTGGTACCCCCCCCACATCTGTTTTATATACAAGGCATATTCTCATCCCCTTAATGTTTCTGATTCTGAACACTGGTCCCATTTTGCTCTTGGGGAAACAAGATTGGCTTTAACAAGGTCATCAACTGGTCCACAAAAGACCGGAGACTATGACCAAAGTCCTTATTAGAGGCCTAATATTCACTCTGTTGGAAGGCCCTAGGAGGCTGGGCATGGCCGTGCTTCTGAGAGATCTCACATGCCTTGGTGGGGAGGGTCAGAGGTTACTGGGTCAGTTTGAGCTACTTCGCAGTAGCTCTGGAGAGAAGGCCCAGGGGGCAGCTGAAGGCTCTGTGGGGATCTGTGGAGGAATAGCTGCGCCAGGCTGGTCTTTGATTCCCTTCTGTCCTTGGCCTCAGGTTCTCTTGGCTACCTACTGCCACAGCGGTTATTCTCAGGCCTTTAGAATGAGAGAGCATTCCCTCTGTGGGGGAGCGGATTACTCCTCCATAATTACCTGCTGACATCAGAGTCCCAGCATCTCTGCCATTCTGGGGAAAGGTTCCTCCCTCCCCCAAGGACTCCCTGCCTTTTCTCGCCTCTTTCTCCTTGCACCTCATTCCTCTCTTGCTGCTGTCGCTCTTCTGCTGAGTTCCAAGCAGTCATTTCTTTCCGCTTTGTGAAGGACCTTGGCATCTTCAGGGATGTGGATTCATGAGGGAGAAGAGCTTGGAGGTCCTGTGTAGTTTCAGAAAAATGCCAGGAGGCCTCCTCCTCCACCCGCTTCCTCTTCTCATTGATTTGACTCTCTGGGGCCCTCTGCAACCCTGACCTTGGGATGGATACTACCTGGGTGGCAGTCCCCTGTCCCTGGGGCTCTGGGCAAACTCACAGCATGGGTGCACATGCTCAGTGCCAGCAGCTCTGCTCCCCATAAGCAGAGCCGGAGCACCTGGTTTTCCCTGGAGGAGGCAGCTTTCCCTAGGCAACCTCCTCCGTCTCTTGAGCCACCGGGCCATGAAGCAGCTTTGGGAGATTTGGGGTGCAGGGAGGAGGTCCAGTGGAGGAGGAGCGAGAGCTCCTCCACATCTGTGCCCCGTGGCAGTGGGCCAGGCTGGGGAGTGAAGCCCTGCCTGCGGCTCTCCCAGGGAAATGTGATTTCCCTTGAGTGAAGCGGACTGTGCAGCGTGGAAATTGGCTCTTTTCTGAGCGAGCAGCCGCCGTCGCTGCGAAGTCGGGGCGGGCTCAGCCCACAGGAGGCAGTGCTGGCCCCTGGAGTGAGCCGGGAGCAGCCATGTGCTGAGAACTCATTAGGGATAAATCAAACTAGTAACAGCATGAAGCCAACACCCTCCCCCTCATCACACCTCCCTTCCCACCCACCCTCTCCCCTCCCGGAGACCCCCTGCGCCCTCCTTTTCTTCCACATCGTTTCTCTCCCGCGGACCTCTCCCCAGAGCTAGGCCACCCTTCCTCAGTTCAAGCACCTTCCTCCCACCCTAGCCAGGGCACCTTCCCATAACTAGCACATCCTCCCACAAACAGGGCATCCTCCCTCCCAGCCATTGCTCTCCCCAAGTCAGCCTGAGGACCCTGACCCCCAGCCAAGGGTGCCCTTCCCACAGCCCCGCCCTTTTTACATCCTCCCCAGTGTGTCTTCTCAGCTAAGACAACTTACCCCCTAGTTTCAGGAGCCCAACCGCGCGTGCGCACCCCCCCCACGCGCGCGCTCGCGCGCACTCACACCCGGTGCCAAAACTCCAAGAACTGTTCTTAAATGAGAAAGTTGTTCATGTAGCATTTTTGGTTTGCCTTCTAGTTACTTTTTCAGTAGTGGCCAAGATACTGATGGAAAATGTCACTGACAACTGCAGGCCTCATTTAGAGCACAGCCAGGACCAGCACCAAGGTGACTTTGCCCCATCCCTTTCGGCCCCCATCCCAGCAGTCTTCTGGGGGGAGCCCAGAACCGAGACTCCCAACTGTGGCAGCATTAGTTCCCCTGGTACTTGTACCCCTGGGGAGATGCGGCAACCCAGAAGACTTGCTGCAGGCTGGAAGAAAGTATCCATAAAATGAATGAGCTCAATCAGGAGGGAAACCTGCTTCCTGCCAAGGCAGACCAGAACCGGAAAGAAACAGGGGTGGCGGGGTGGGGTAGCTGGGTGAGTGGCGGTTTGCAGGTAGGGGAGAGAAGGTGTGGACTTCTATCTCTGGAAGAGTAAGGAGCTTCCTAGGGTGTTTTACTGCACTGGGAGACCACTTCTGCCCTGAATTGCCCTCTGCCTGATGAGGGGGACAGGGTGTGCCCTGCATGTTATATC